ACTGCGAGACGATTCCTGACTCTTAGGATAGTCATGCCAATCACGCCTCCAAGATGGCTCAAAATTTCTTGTATCCCATATAACTCTTGACTGAGATACCGATAAGGCGTCCAACATTTCAACATACAGTTTATTTATGTTTTCCCTAAAATTCTTTAGAGTTTCTGGAAAATCAAAGGCTGCTCCGGCCAAGTTGCTGTGGGGCAATCCATCCTTTAATTCAAGAAGCGGAGAGCAAAACTGCTGCCCATTTCGATAAACAGAACTTCCATGAAGTCTAGTCTTCGAGGGATGACACAATTTCCTTGCACACAGAAAAATTATTTTCACTAGTCTTATCTCTACCTTGAACTCATTCAGAGCACGATCATCCTTGCAGATATCTAAGATTGAATCAATGCAAGTCATCGTCGTTAGACAGAGTCAGTGATGGTGATCCAGATTCCCGGATTCCCGTATAAGCCAAACGGGCATGGTCAGCAACAGGGTTGATCTTCTCTACTGATTCAGAAATATTCAAGTCCATTCCATCAAGCACTTGATTATCCTCCCTGAAAAACCAAGAAAGTAAACAAAGATGTGCTGCAGACACTGCCACAACACCACAGTGCTTCATAAATTCATTCTTGTACTTGCCCTGCTTTCGGAATTCGGACAAAGCATATGAAATCTTTCAGTAATACTAACTTCTCTTGAAGGGGCTTCAAGAGCGTAGCAAATCTTGAATCACGGGCTTCGCCCCATAAGAGATTATCCTCAAAATTCTCCAGCAAGGAGTGGAAGAAATCCAAAAATTCACCTTTGCCAGAAGAACTCAGTTCCAATAAGCAATCCAACATTTAATAGCATTCAGGCATCCTTTGCTTCCAGTGCCACTGAAGCTGCAGCTCTAGCGATGGCTCAATATCTTTTGTATTGGACAGGAATCCAGGGTGAGAAAGGGATTGGGAGATGGAATCTGACATCCATACGTATGCATCTCTAATTACTTTCCTGAAGCTCTTATGTTGAAAACAAGAGTCTTCTCCAGAAAGGGGCAATCCACCCTGAAGAGGGTAAAAACACTGCAAATTTTCACGAGCATGTTCTTGAATGCTGCGAATGGAGAACCCCAATTTGTTAGCACAGAGGAGAAATGTTTTCACTAGTCTTAACTCGACCTTCAGCATATTCAATCCATGATATTTCTTGCAGAAATCATCCTCGCCCACCAGCCTCTTCAGCTTGAGGAAGGCTAAATCAATGTAAAGTATGCAGTCTAGCTGCTCTCTCCTTCTACTGAGCATGATCCCTCTTCCAGTATCTGAGATTTATCTCTTTATCTCTAAGTCCCAAGTACTAGAAATCCGAGAGAGATGGAGAAAGACGATAGGAAAGAGAGCTTGCAAGAGATGAAGCAGGAAGGCAGGGGAGAAAGGGAACGTAACCAACCAGCATGGAAGGAGGTGGAAGAGTAGAATGTTGCCGTTCTTCCCTTCTTTTTCGATTCTAAAAACAGCAGAGTAAATATGCCGTTTATCTTTTCATTCTTTTGGGCACTCAAAGGAGGACCCCATTAGGCCATTAGCCCATTACCGACCAACTCTTTTGGGCATTATTACTTCTCCTGGCTTTTACTTTTAGAACACTATAAAGAACCCATTACTCTTTAGAATGCATGCTTAAGTTATTGGCGTTGTTTGGATTATCATTTTCCACCCAAAATTTTTTGTATTTTTTGCAAATATATTTTTCAATCAACTTTTTATCTCACATAAATTAAATCACTATAGTATATTTTTCTATAAAAACTCTAGAAAATAATAATCGAAGTGGGCTCATATTTTTCCTAATAAGAGAAAGCATGTTTACATAATGTAGAAATAGAGATTCACAATTTTTACTCATACGCGCGCACGCACGCACACATATATATAAAAAAAGGGTCCATCAGACACTCATTAGAATTGGATTAAGGTGTTAATTTTTATTTTTAAAAAGTAAAATTAAATGACAAAAGTATATAAATTCAAGGCAGTCAGTAATTGTAGCTGTATATATTCAAAGGACAAATGCAAGTTAGGCGATAATTATTAGTGTGATTTAGGTGGCCCCTGTTACATAATAATAATAATTATAATAATAAAATCCATATGCATACTCTTATTAATAGTGAAGTAGAATTATTTGGTAACAAGACATGGCATACTTCTTTTATTTTATCTGCTTTCCTTTTGTTTTATGGACTTGCTTTAGAAAAATTTAGCACAAAATTCTTTCAAATATGATATGGGAGGAAAACAACAAATTTGAGAAGTACCCAATTAAGCCCCTAAAAAAATTTAAAATTTCAGAATGCATTATTATTATTATTTTTTTTTTGAAGAGTCATGTTTGGACAGAAAAATTCCTTCTGCTGTCAAATGTTGTCGATCAGAAGAAGTTGCAAATGTTTCATTTTCTCCTAATCTGTGCAGTTGCTCTACAGGCATTATTGATTAATTTTTAACATTGAAATGCTTTTGCAGCTTGCTTATCACTACTAAGTAATTCCATTCACACGCCACCTCTACTGCACTTCCAAGTTCCATCATATATTGCAGGCTGCAAAAAGAGGTGTGGAAATGAGGCTTTTATTCCCTGATTGCTTTTCTTGCTCAGAAATCTGGACTACATTGAGAATCCGAATGGTCAAACAAACAATGAATGTTCCAGGAAAGCAACTGTCTAATCTATCAAGGCAAAATTCCATGTGTCTTTTCCATTCAATTCTGATGTGTATCTCAGTTTATTTGCAGTTGATAGAGAATGGATGATATAGTGTATCCTCTTTGATATGTTTCTTGAAAGAAAGGACTTTTGAGAGAATCAAGATTGCTACACAAAGAGAAGATCCATGGCAAAGATAAGTAGGTCATTACTTTCCCATAGACTTGGGGATCCAAACTAGCAGCAGGAAGGAGCATTGATTGAATCACTTGCACTGGTCAATTTCAATCCCCGAGCACTAATCTGTCCAGAAGAATCACCAAAGTTTTACTCAGCCTTGGCTCATTTAGGTCTTAGCTATGAACATCAACAGCTAGTAAGTAGGCAAGCACAGTTGGACTCCGTTTTCTCTATTATCGAGGGGAAAGAAAGGCCACAATGATAATTTTATTAAAAATACTATTGATCATAGCAAGACTGGATTTAGTTCTTCTCTCTCTTTTCTTTTTTTTCTTTTTTTTGTTAACATCAACTAGAAGATATGATAATTCCAACTGCAATCTGCAGAAATTGGACCATATATATTCTGCTCCAACAAAATTGGAGAGCGAACGTCTTGTAAACTTGAGATAGACATGCCTGAGATTCACAGCTTTGGCCAGGATGTATCCAGTTCAGCTACCATTCTAAACAGCATTTCCCAGCACACACAAAACACACCATTACCAGTTTGTTCACATGACACAACACAGATGACTAAAAAGATCTACAATCGGATTGTTTTACATTTACATTCAATCAAAAGAACTGCACAAATACTTGGGATGCATTTATAACCATTTGGCACAAAGTAATCAACATTTTCGAAATCCATTTATCAAATGGTACATTCATTTGCTACAAATGTCAACATATTTCTGAATCTCAATCTGAACATGAAGAAAAATCCTCAATTTCTTCGCAGATGAGGATGTTTAGATCCTGATTTCCCCAGTTGATCTGTTCTTCCTTGATGTCTTGAACTAAACAACCTATAAGCTCTGGACATCGATGCACCTCAATCAATTGAAGAGTTAGACATTCCCCTAAACAAGAAGGGAGCTCCGGCAATTTCATGCAACCTTCCAAAATTATCACCAGCTGGGGTAGGTGATAAAGTGTTACTAACTCCAAAAAAAAAAATGGTCCTATGATAGCCTGCACTTTCAAGTGATATGCATTTATTGTGGGTTTAACAAGTTCTATAATCTTATTTGGAGTACTTTCATTGATTAATAACCAGCTATTATGATGCTAGTTTATGCTCTCAAGTTTCAAGAAGTTTTTCCAATTCAGAGATAGAGAACAATAATTTATACCCAACCGTAGAAGATTAGGAAAAAGTTAAAAAAAGTCTGCTCGGTTTTTATTATAAGTTGTTTGGATAGCTGACATCCTGTAGTAATTAACCGACACGGTCTATGCAGTCCGTGTTACTTTGTTCTGTTTGCCATTGTCCCTCTTCTTCTTGTTTTCTCAGATTTCTCTCTACCTTTATGGGAAGTGTTTTCGTTTCTTCTTTGCCTCTCAATAACCGAGTATGATCAAAACCCCCCAGTTTTTCCAATAAAAGTACTGGTAAAACATCAAGTATAAGAAGTGATTATAGTTTTTTCCTTCATTGAAAACATTATTCTACCAATAGACAGCCAACTTTTTTCTAGCATACATAAACTTGAGAGGAATAACCATTTACGAATCAAAAGAAAGAACTTTTTTAAAGAAAAAAATCTTTTCAACAAGTTGAAAGATCAAGAAAGCAGCTTTTAATTAGACAATAACATCTGATCCGCTTCTCATGAAGTATGCATAATCCACTTTGGTTGCTACAGCAATCGACTGAAGCAGCGCGAATTATGCTATGACTTGGAAAAATTGAATAACAAACGTAAAAGTAAAAGTAGGAAATCCATGACAGACAGTTGTGGATGATGCATATCAATGTTTTAAGAGTCTTTCGTCCTAGAAGCTATTCAAAAAGTTTGCCAATCAAAAGGAATCTTGTTATGAAAACCATTGGAATCTGAATACATGTTGTTAAAAGTATCTTTAGATGCCACCAAAGCTTATCATTCAACTGCCGTATAAGGACCAAACTTGTCTTCAGTGAAGTCGCATTTACTAGTTAAGAAAGAAGCGTGAATGCCATCTCTTGTTTTTTTTTTTTGGCTTAATCCATGAAGAGTCGAATAAGAAAGTATCAAGCCAACATTGACATAGAAATCATCTTAATCTGCAATTACGAAACAAAAAAGCACAAAGCTCACCATGATTAGATACATGCCTATACAGTGATCTGAACAGGCTGAATGGTAGAGACACCAAAATCTAGAGGAAAAACGGCTTTTAGCCTGAGACATTCATCAGTTAAAAAGGAAGAGTGCACCATAGGGCATCTCTGACATTCACAATCTAATAGGAAGGTGCCAGTACAATGCATAGACCAAGGTCTTGGTCAGGGTTAAACCATCATACATTCCTTTTTGAAATGATGTTTCATGTATTTACAAGAAGCGAATGTAGAACAGCACAACGGAGATTCGCAAAACCCGTTTTACAGCAGGCAGCTTCTCTTTGACAGAACATAAGGTTGATGTGGTTAGTTGCAACTAATACTGAGTTTAATCCTCTGAGCTAGCCTGCTGGCTGGATTGTCGTACAAAAACTTGTTCAAATCTGGGATATGCCAAGCCTGTCAAACAGCCTGGAATCAAAGCCAGAACCAGCCACATTACAGATCAAAGATATCTTCCTTTCAAGGTCAATGAAAAAGAACGAACAGGAGTGAAACTCTACAGAAAAGACACTCAAAAGAAACAACAGGTCACAGCTTTCTATTAATAACTACCAAAAACAATAGTAATAATAATTGCTTATTCTCTTTAGTTTTCAAAACATTTATAATTCTTCTTTAAACTGATAGGCACATCCTATAGTTTGCAAAAATAGAAACATGCAAACTATTTATCAGGATAAGAGAAAGATAGTCTTTACCTGGTTTTCCCAACCCAGTTTCATCTAAGTCGGAAAAAAAAAAGAGTAGGGTGGGACGTGTAATGAGGTGAAAACCTGAAAAGGGAAAATGCAGTCTATTCAAGAACAAAGGTTAAAAGAAGAAGTTATACCATTGATAGGAGATGTATTCACAGCATTGTCCACGTGGCCATAAAAGATATAGTTCGAATCTCATGACGAATAGCTTCAAGTTGGGAAAAAGTGTCTTGTAGTTCTTTATGCACCTACAAAACACAAAATTAGTACAGCTAATCTACAAAAATCGTTGAAAGACAAAGTACACTTTATATTTTAATTGTCTAGCCAGTGAACCTCAATCACTAACTATGCCATGCATGTGCTTTGTATACAGACAGACACAAACATACAGAGACATATCTATGTGCATGTAGAAAGAGAGAGAGAGAGAGAGACCCCCGACGAGCCTGAGATTACTGCATAACGCTATCGAATTGGCCACGGGCCACTTGGACATAGCCAATTGCCCTTCCAGCCAATATAAGAAATTCCCAGCATCACTCTTCCTTTTGCTCCCCCTCCTTCTAGGCACTTGTACCTGAGCAAGGCACATGACATGATGACAAGGTTAAATTAGTGTTACTTTCTAAGACTTAGGCTCAAAGATAAAACTGTTAGGTGTAGAAAAAATGTACTAATAGACAACCTTTGTTGTCTTCTTTATTCAATGACAATAAATTGCACATTGTGTTAAAAAAATCAATTAAAATCCCAAATTGCAACCACTAACACCAGAATATTCTCTTTTTGCTTCCTCTCTAACATCGCCTCCTCGCACGTGATGCACACAAACACAATTTCACACATTAACACACAAAAAGCACCAAAATCTCTCTTTCCTTTGCATTTTCTTTTTTAGGTTCTCATGTGGACATTTTATCAAAAGCTTGACGTGCATGGGCAAAAACAACAATTTTTCAGCTCAACATAAACTAATGCAGGGCCAAACTTTCTATTTCAACCATATTCACAGCCTTTTCCACATAAATGGAGCAAATAGTCACAAAGTTGCAGATGAAATATTGAAATACAAAGAAAATTAAAACAGGACCATTCAACAATACCCAGCAAAGAAATTCAATCTTGTACGTAAACTATACATAATTTGAACGAGATTGACAATTGAGAGCATGAGAAGCAGCTTACAGTGGTATTTTGAAGAAAATTTGCGCCCTGAGTTCGTGGATTGGACCTACTTGAAAATCAACCGAGTTGGTCCTTTTAACTCTCTGGTTTTAAAACATTAGTATCACAAAATGATACAAATAAAAAGATTATATGTCTTCCCCTTTTTTAACTCTCTCTCTCTCGCCAATTGTTTTTAACTTTAAAACCACATTGTACCATCCCAAAGTGTAAAAACGCCAAACAATTAAAGAAAAATAGGCTAAAAAGCATGTATGGTGTTTCTCATGTTCGAATTGAAACATAGCACTATGTTGGTTTCAAAAACTCCCTAATACAGTAATGTAAAAAATCCTTGCTTTGATCATTTTAGATATTGCATTCCAAAATGGTTTTGCCTAAGAATAACTATAGACACTTCAAAACAAAAACTCCCTATTTAGTCTAAGTTGGCATTTTCTTTTGCCCAGCATCTAGTCTTCGTACAAATGGTTTGTAAATAAGGGAAAAAAAAAGATATTTTGTGGCTAGATATGCTACGTGTGGTATTTGCTCAGATGCAAAAGAAAGATAGTTTTCAATAATCGAATCAAGATTATTGAAACCCTAAAAAGCACTCAATGGAAGAAACTTGAAAAGTACTTAAAAATGCAATTACTAGAAGAAACTTCAAAAGACAGTTTTGTGTAATGATGAGAGTTCCAGAGCCAGAGGACAGTTCTGAACTGAAACACCTCTGATCAAATTACTACCTTAGGCCACAATCTGTCAAATTTTGCTCCCACTCTTAACAACCATTGCTGGCACACCTTCAACACACCATCACCCTAGCAGTTAATTTGCAGAACAGTTAGGGTACAAGCTAAATGCATAGCAGAGCACAGAATATACCCCAACAGTATATACCATCACACCTGTAACATCTGTAACCACAGGGATTTGCCCAGTGACTAGAGAAATGTTTAACACTCTCAGAGCTCTCTCCTCTATTAGGTTCAAAGTTCGAATTCCAGGCTTGACAATGAGAGGTGAGAAGGATGTGGAGACAGGTGGGGGGATAAAATTAAGGATTAAAAAAATAATGTCACATGACACAACACACTTGACAAACTAAATAAGCACAAATATAAGATCGTATCAGATTCCGTATTCCCATTTTCCAGATGAAACATGTCTTTTACGTATAAATCACTAAGGTAAGTTTATATTCCATCATATAAGTTCCACAGATACTTGAGATACAAGTGTAAACAGCTGGAAAAATTATAAGCATACCCATCCTCAATATTTGAGCAATCAATTTAATCAAATAGTACGTTAATTTGTTATTAACACATAGCAACTTATTTATGCATTACAACGACAAATACGACATCAATGTAAACAGAACCATACAGAAGATAGTACCTCTTATGGCAGATGATCATTAGCCTGACCATCCGTCTGAATCTCCAACCATGAAGAAGACTCATCAATTTCTTCTGGTAGCCATCCGTCTGAATCTCCATCTGACCATGAAGAAGACTCCTCAAATTCTTCCGAGATAAGGATTTTCAGATCCATGTTTCCATAATCCATCTGCTGTTCCTCAATGCCTTCAAATGAATTCCTATCCAAGTTTGGACATCGATGCACCTCAATCAATTTAAGAGGAGATTCCCCTAAACAAGAAGGGAGCTTTTGTAATTTCTTACAATCATCCAAAACTAATTTTTCAAGACTGGGAAAACAATGTCCTAAGCCTTTCCACCTAACTATCTTCAAGGATTTCAATTTCAAGAACTTGAGTTTTGGGAAGAATATCTCCTCTTCCATGTCTTCCATTTCTTCACTATTTTCCATGTCTTGACTGTCCTGTTTCTCTTCCCCATCAGCTTGTCTATATAATCTGAGAACCTGAAGATTGGGTAGCTTTCCAATTGTGGAAATTATACACCAGGAAAATTCCTCCAGGGTCAACTTTTGTAGACTGGAGGGGAGATAGAGTTCAACACAATGCATAGTCACTTTACCTAAATTCAGCTTCAGTGATTCCAGATGACTCAGAAAGTTCATTACCATGACTCTATTGCTGTCTGCAGTAAATTCTGCTGATTCCACGAGACAGCATTTTAGTTGACGGATATTTGGAAACTTTCTAATCATCTTTTCCATGCTTTGCCCCAGATACAACTTCATAGTTGAAAAAGTGTCTAAATTGTTCAAGAGGGAGGAGCTTTCAAGGTTATCATTGGCCAATCTAATATCAATCAAAGCACCATACACATGCAAATGCCTCAATTTCTGCATCTTTAGAAGAGTATCTTGCAACAAAGAAAGACCAACATCATCCTTTGTTCTCACGAGAAAAGTTTCCAAATTTGAGAGCATTTCAAGTGAGGATGGAATGCCATTCTTGAGCCAACCTAGAACTGCCAAGTACCTCAGTTGAACAAGCGACCATAATTCCCTCGGGAAATCAGAACCTAGACTAATATTTTCCAAGTCTAGCACATTAAGAAGTTTCAGGAGAAAAATGAAACGAAAATTGCACCGGAGTTGGCGGACCCCAAAATCTCGAGATGAATATAATAGAGAGCGTATCTGGGGACAAATTATCCTAGATTTGATGAAATGCTTTGGTTGAGCTTGAATAGATAATCGACGTGGGTTGTATGGCTCATCAAATGTAAGATCCTCATCATACCCTCGCACCAATTGCAGAAAATTTTGTTTTTTGGCTTTTTTCACACAAAAGACATGCAACAAATCATGAATGCGACAGGTCTTGACCTCACCTGCGTATCTTCGTTGCCCTACCATAACTAAGCTTCTGTTGATTAGAGCCCTTATATAGCCTTCTGCTATTTTCTCTAGGCACTCCGACTCACTTTTCTGCACAAATCCCTCAGCGATCCATAACCATGTCAACCTCCGAACACAAATTTCTTGATCTTCTCGAAAGGCTCCAAAGTAAAGAATGCATCGCTTCAAATGGTCAGGCAGATGCCTGTAACTCAGCTTTAGTATCCTGCGGCATTGTTCTGTGGCACCAACCATGGCAGTTAAACTTACCATTTTTGCAACTTCTTCCCAACCAGCTTCACCGAGAGTTGCAAGGATACCAGATATAATGGCAATTGATAGAGGCATCCCATTACAAGTTTTTGCTATTTTCCACCCAAGAAGATTTTGTTCTTGAGAATAGCCTCCTTCTCTAATAACTGCCAGCTTCTTCTGTAGTAATTCACAGCTTTCTGATTCACTAAGTGTCCTAAGATTACAAGGTTTGCCAACAATATCAGTAAGTCGACTTGTTAAGAGTATTCGGCTTCCATTGTTTTTCTCTGGGAATGAAGATTTTAAAGCATTCCACGCTTCGATGTCCCAAACATCATCCAAAACTATAAGAAACCTCTGTCTCAACAAGCATTGCCAGAGTTCAAGAGCCAATTGATATTCATCCTTCTCAGAAAATTGAGTTTTCTGATCAATGCAAGCCAAAATCTGAAGCAACAAATCTTTCTTGCAATATGTTTGGGAGATATAACTCCATGCCTGAATGTGGAAGTGAGATGTAATTCTAGGATCACGGTAAACTCTTTGTGCCAAAAATGTCTTGCCTAGTCCAGCCACGCCCACAATGGAAATGACGTCCAGCTGCTTTAGACCTTTTATAAGTTTATCAATCACTGCTTGCTCCACATCCTGCAAGACCACCTCAGCTTTATCGACTGTTGAGATACTACCCGATGATGACACCTGGTAGGATGCTCCACTCGTCTTGCTTATCTCTGTTTTCCAAAAAAATTAAGAAGAGAATGAAATATCATTAATACAAAATGGAGTGCTAACATTATTGTGATCCATGTTGAGATATTACCTTGTGGTGTCAGATGCCTCAAACTCTTGGCAGCTTCTTGGGCTTCACTCTTAACACGCTTAATTCCTTTTGCAACTTCATCAAATAACATCAGAGGATAAAATGTTATCAAATAACACCAGGGAATAGATAATATGAAATATAGCGTTAATCACAAGAAGTCTCCTTCAAGCATACCCCAATTTTCAGTTTATCCCTAACATTTTTTTTTTTTTTTGGTCTCACTTTATCCCCTATTGGACAAAATTACCCCTCCATTATTCTAAATTCCTACTGGACAAAATATTTGTTGTAATATTTCCATGTCAATGTTTAATTAATCAATGACTTTCCTGTTTGATGTTTCCTTTTTTCCCCATCATTCAACTTTAATTTTAGTTTAAATGTAGCCTACAGCCTTCTTTCTTGATTCCAGAATGCAAAGAAAAGTATGGACCTTTACTTCAATTCAATAGTAATTAGGAAATAATTAGAGCTCGGAAATATTTCAGAAAATTGAAAGCAGCTAATACTTTCTGGTTGGCATACCCGACATGTGTGGATTTTTTTCGTCTCACAAATTTCAAATGTTGCCTTGCAATTAAATCTGCTAAATTTGTTCTTGATGCTAAAAGTTGTTGGTGAATTGCATGAATTTCTTTTTCTTCAAGCGTTTGTAGATTTTCAGGTAAATTAGAGTTTTTCTTTTGAATCTTGAGCTTTCTTTGTCAATGCAAGCCAAAATCTCGAGCAACAAATTTTTCTTGAAATATGTTTGGGAGACACAATACCAAGCAAAGAATGTCAAAGTGAGATGTAACTAAAGGAACATGGTAGATTTGTTGTTCTAGAGTTGCCTTACTTGGATCAGGCATACCCACAATGGAAACCATGTCCAGATGCGTTGATCCTCCTATAAGTTGATCAATTTTTGCTTGCGCCTCATCCTTCAATTCTACCACAGCTTTGTTGTTTGTTGAGATACCACCCTCTGATGGCACCTGGTAGAGTGCTTCAATAGTCCGCTTATTGCTTGCTGTTTTGAAAACCAAATAGAGAACAATATAATTAGAAATTTTGCAGCGTAATATAATCATCTATTCAATATCGTTGAGATATTACCTTTGGACATCTCGGTAGCTTTCTGGGCAAGGTTAACAATTTCTTCTCTGACATTATCAAGTAACAACAGAGAATAAAATGATACATCTCTAACTATTAACGAGTCGATAACAAACTCTGCCTTGTATGCCACTTTCACAACATGACTCCAAAGAGCTTCGAGCCCTTCATGGTAGTTGGGATGCTCCCTGCTTCTTTCCAAGAATGATCTTAAGAATACTAGATCATCTTGCATTGCTTGAAGTTGGAGCTTTTCATTCTGTTTGTGCTGCACCAAATTATTTTCCAAGAATGACCTTAGGAATGAAAGATCTTGCATGTTTCGAGGTTGAAGCTCAGGACACCCTGTTGGATGCTCCACATTCTTTTCCAAGTATGATCTTAAGAAGTCAGATCTGTCCTTTGCAAAAGAAGATACTGGATCAACTTTATAATTTGCTAGTTCCTTCAATTTATCTAGAAGGTGATCGATAATCCCCAACACATTAGTGGTACGGAAGTTGAACCTTGGCACTACAGGATAGCTTTCATCAACGGCTGCCTTGATAGTGTTTATCTTCCCCAGCAAACAAAAGAGCTTAATATCTATTTCCTTGGCCAAAGCTTCTGGGATGTTATATTGAGGAAGTGAGAAAATTACAACCCCAGCATCATTGACCACAACTCCAATAATACACTTGATTCTTCCAGGTAACCCATCATACTTCTCTTGTTGCTTCTTGAGAATGTTTCTCAAAAATTGCAGTCCATCATAGAGTATCCGCATTTGATGCTGCAGAGATTCCAAAAACCTGGTAGGACAATGTTGTAGTAGCTCCAAAAGATTACTTAGGAGAGAATCTACAAATTCCCCTGCTATAATCATATGCATCTTCGTAGACACAGTGAGCGATGATGATCCGCATACCAAGATGCTGCGGACTTGGTAAACAACAGACTCGAACTTCTCGATTAATTTAGCTATCTGTGAGCTCATTTCATCAAGGACCGTATTATCTTCTCTAAAGAACCAGCATTTATAACAAAGACCTGCTGCAAATGGTACTAGAGTCTTACAGTACTTCATAAGTTCCAGCTGGTTTTTGCCGTGCAACCTGGCAAAGAGAATGAGATTCTTAAAGAATACTAGCTTCTTTTGAAGGGGTGTTAGCAATGTTTCAAGTCTTGAATCACAGGCTTCACCCCAGACGGCAATATCCACAAGATTCTCTAGCAAAGATTGGGAGAATTCTATGAAATTATCTTCCCAAAAAAAAGGGGCCAAAGAAGGACACAAATCCAGTTCTACATAAGACATAAATTTATCTGAAATCTTGTCATACGATTCACTGATTTCTTGCCTAAGAAATTGTTGAAAATCAGATGCTGCTCGGGCTAATCCATCATCTAATCGACGAAGAAGAGAGTGAAACTGCTTCGCCTTTTCAGCAACAATCCATGCAAAATGGCTAGTCTCATCACACCGAAATCCTTGACACAAAATAAGTGTTTTAGCTAGTCTTAGCTCTATCTTCAGCTCATTCAAACCACAATCATCCTTGCAGCAATCTAGGATTAAATCAATGTATTTTGAGAATGATCTAGATGCCCAGACACCAGAATAAGTCAAACGGGCTTGGTCAGCAAAAGCAGAAATCTTCTCTAATGATATGGAAATGTTTGGTTTAATCCAATCAGACACTTCATTATAATCTCTCAAAAACCAACACATGAAGCAGAGATAAGCTGTATATACAGCCAAAAATCCACAATGCTTCTTATGTTCGATATTGTCCGGGATTTCTCCTTGTAAGACACCATTCAAGAACTTTAGCTTCTCGTGAAGGGGCGCCAAGAGTGTGGCAAATCCTGGATTACAGGCTTCGCCCCTGAAGAGAATATCATCAAGATTCGTTAGCAAGGAGGAGAAGAAATCCAGGAATTCAGAACCCCAAGAACAATCCCGATCCACTATGCGATCCAGCATAGCGGAATAGCATCGAAGCATGCACCCGGCCGAGTCCTTGTAACCTTGCAAATTGTGCAGCATGGCTTCCAAGATCCGGATGTAGTCATCTCTGATTTGGTCCCTAAATGTGTGCACAACTTTTCGAAAACAAGAGACCTCTCCAGCAGGGGGCAATCCATCCTCAAGTAGAAGAGAGTAAAAACGCTGCCCATTTTTATCAACAGAGTCTTCAAGGCTTGAAGAAGAATGCCGTCCACACAGAAGAAATGTTCTTACAAGTCCTAACTCCACCCTCAGCTTATTTAAGCCATCATAACCCTCGCCCACCAGCCACTGCAGCTTACCTAAGATTAAATCAATGCAGCTTACGCACTTCCCCATCCACTGCTTTGCGCCGAATCCGATGATCCCTCTTCCACTATTCTCAGATCTGTGTCTACCCCCACCGGTACGGTGATCTTTTTCTTCTCTACCTCTCAATACTCACCAAGGCAGATCTGCGTCTGCCTCCACCACTTATGCTTTTTGGCCAACACCGAGTAGCCTTTTAAGTCAAGGGCCAAACTTTTGCTTCTGTAAACTTCACCGATGTTGCATTTACGAATCTAGAAAGAACTAGCCTGATGGGTGTTTCAATTTTGGTTTTTTTTCATCTTATACAAGAATAAGGTATCCATAAGTTAATCATTTCCAGTAAATTTTTTACGCACGAATCTTTTTAGGACACTAGTAGCGTATCACAGATGTAATTTTCAAAATCAGAGATACAAGTTAAATGCCTGAGATTTTAAGAAATCGGGATTGTGTCCACTGTCCACTGAGTATTATTTACAACATTTGTAATCTTTTTGGTCCCGTTTGAATTGCTATTTTGTGAAATTTTTATAAAAAATATATATATACTGTGATAATTTGATATATATAAAATAAAAAATATAATTAAGAAATATATTCACGAAAGTATAAAAATTTTTTGAGAGAAAATTGCTTTCCCAACCTGCAATTGAAAAACAAAAAACACAAAGGTCCCTGTATGTTTTTTTTTTTTTTTCATCTTATAAGACGAAAATACTTCAAGAAAAGAATCTTGATCCCAGAAAAGATTTCATCGTATAAGACGAGTTCCAAAGTAGAGGATTAACTTAAAACTTTAGAAGAATAATCACGTTGTCTTTCCCTACTGATCAAAATAAGGCAATCTGAGAGTTTGCTTTTTTTTTTTTTTTGACGGAAATGTGTCAAAAACTAGCAGACAGGAGATTATGTAACCTGCATTTATCAGTTTCAATATTTTAGAAGTAATTTTTTTTTTTTGAAGATTCGCCAAAGTAATTAATTGAGAGAAAGAAAAGTTAATACTTCGTGCAATATGATTACTTATTGAAAAACTAGATTTTTATGATCTTTGTGTGGGTTGACGTCAATTCAAAATGAGAGGAATGAGCAAAATTTGTCCACCTACATGTTTCAGTGATGCTAAATTTTCTACCTGAGAAATAATTACTATTTAGAGCCTTCACATTCTCTCTGCACATTAGGACAAATATATATATATATATATATATATATATATATATATAAAGTGACAATGTGATTTGGTGTTTTAGTGATTTAGTTTTTGCTTTCCAATAACTTTTAAAACTTCAAGGGAGGGCAGTGAAATTGTCAGAAATTTCAAGAGAGGTTTCTGAAATTATCCCAAATAATTACTATCTAGAGCCTTCAATATATATATATATATATATATATATATATATATATAAAGCACCATTGTGATTTGGTGTTTTAGTAATGCAGTTTTTGCTTTTCAGTAATACCCTTGTATAATTAAATAATGAAATGTGCCTTAAACTTCAAATACGAATTGGATGAGGGATATTTTTGGATATTCGTGTTGATGCAATTCCTGTCTTCTAAAATTTAGTATTCTAAAAGAAAAGGAATTCCAAACAAAGTTAAACAAAAAGGGGGGGGGGGGGGGGGGGAACCATACTGTAAAACAAAGTTAAACCCAAAAATATGGAAACCATATTGTCAAAGGAAATTGAAGAAGTATTCCTGCTTTATTAATTTTTATAAAAATTAGTTTCTGCTTTCCAACATTAACCCTCCCGTAACATGTTAAGGCTAGCTCCAAATTTGAATGACTTATTGATATCGTTGAGGGTAATTGTGTAACGTTGTTGTTAAGTTTTTATTTCAGGAAGACAGCTATATTGCATTTTTCTTATGAAATATAGTAACTTAGTAAGATTTGGAATGAAATATGACAAGAAAGGCCACTCACGAGTCGTGAGAATGGAGCAAAACACTTCTGATTTTCAGTTGTCATGATAGGAGAGCTGCGGCTCACAACCACCACCAAGATTGTAGATGGCTACAATTCCAGATTGGAATAATTTCCAATGAGTTACTAGAAATGAACATATCTAGATCAACTCGGTGCTTTTTCATTTTTTATTTTTTTTGTAGGAAAACCTTCGGAATCCGAATACATGTTGTTAAAGGTATTTTTAGACTCCAAACGCTTGTACAAGGACCAAACTTTGTCATCTGTAAACTTTAGTCAGTTCACACTTACTAGTTGAGAAAGAATCCTGAAGGCAAACTTTTGTTTTTAGCTTAATACTTATAGAGTCGAATAAGAAAGTACCAAGTAAACATTGACGTCGTAATCATCTTGATCTGCAATTACGAGACGAAAAAGCACAAAGCCCACCATGATTAGGTACATGCATGTACATTGAACAGAACAGCCTAAACAGTAGAGACGACAAGATCTAGAGAAGGGGGGGTAAAAACAGCTTTTAGCTGGAGACGTTCATCAGTTAAAAGTAAGAGTACAGCATAAGGCATCTCCAATATTCACAATCTAATAGTAAGGTGCCAGTACAGTAAACAGACCAAGGTCTAGGTCAGGGCTAAATCATCATCCATCCCCTTTTGAAATGATGTTGCATGTATTTGCAAGAAGTGAAGGTAGAACAGCACAACAGAGGTTCTTAAATTCCATTTTACGGCAGGCAGCTTCGCTTTGACAAAGCATAAGGTTGATGTGGTTAGTTGCAACTAGTACCGAGCTTGATCCTCTTAGCTAATTTGCTGGCTGGATTGTCGAACAAAATCGTGTTCAAATCTGGGACATGCCAAGCCGGTCAAACAGCCCGGAATCAAAGCCAGAACTAGCCACATTATAGATCAAAGATATCTTCCTTTCAAGGTCAATGAAAAAGAAAGAACAGCAAAAGAAACTAAAAACAAACAACAGGTCACAGCTTTCTATTAATAACTACCAAAAAAACAGTAATAATTAATAATAATAATTGCTTATTCCTCTTTATTTGTCAGAACATTTGTAATTCTTCTTTAAACTGACAATATTCCAATAGCACATTCTATATTTTGTAAAATATAAACATCACTCTTCAGGATCCATAAATACCAAAAAGCAAAACACACTAACTCTTTATCAGGATAACAGAATAATACCTTCTCATTCAAGTTTTTCTAGATTTTGAGGCTGTGAAAAGAAGTCTTTTGCATTACGAGCCACCTCTGCCTCCAAGACTGCTTCCAAAACTATATCAGATCCCATCACCGTATCTGATATCACTATCAGCAATAAGTTCTTTGTGGCATAATTAATCCTAGCAGCTTCACTAATAACCTAAAGATGCCAGGTTCATGTACCAGCAGGCTAAATCACAAGCTTTTTCGACAGTCCAACATTTACTTTCAAAATGTAATATTAAAATAAAAATCTAAGATTCCGAGATTTAGTAATCAATGGATGCAGTAGATTGTGACCTAATGTTGTGGAACAAAATAAAAGACACCAATGATGCATTATACCAGGCAGACTCCAACAGCCTGCAAGATTGGAGAGTGCGTTATTGTTTATTCTAGCTGATTTTGTTGCTCTAGCTCCCAGTCTCTACCAAAGAAAATAACAATTTCTTGTAATGGTGACATCGCCTTGCCAAATGCCTCCCAACTGTGCTAACTAGCAAGGCAGATGCTTCCATCTCTGGTGGGCCCACCTCTTCCTCCTAACTATATTAATCCTTGCCTAATCTTTGTCACAAAGAGTCTTGATTTCCAAGATCAAATGAAGCAGCATATTCTAAAAGGACATGCTAAAAAGAAAAAAGCAAATTTGCAATAACTATGCAGTAGCTAAACTATCTCCTCAGCTTCTACCAGTTCATTCCAGGCAACAAGCACCTGATAAAAACTGGTAATACTTGTTCATGTCTTAACTTCACCAAGGAAATAAAAGTTTAATCTAGTGCCACCAACAGATAAGGTAAGATACAAATCCAAATTACCTTTTAGAGCATCGTCAAACATAAAGATATTTAACTGCCTATTCCAGATAATAGGTCAGTTCTGGAAAATACCCTCTAAATCACCCAAAAAGCAAAAGGGAGACTGAAAAGTCTAGATGATAAATAGAAGCACAATTAAAGACTAGAGAGTAAGAAGAAAGACAGAAACTGGCAAAAACCAAAACTAGAAAACGACTCACACCTTTTCGATTTGGTAACAATCCTGCACTTTCAGCTGAAACAGGTAGGATGGTAAGACCAGATTCATCCGTTAACTCATTCAGAACTTCATTGTTCACAGAAGCAGGGTTCAATGACTTAGATTCAGCCAACTTTGCATAAGCTATAGCTTGGCTGTGCATGTCAGATGAGGCTGAGGCTTGTGAAGCATAACCCTAGGAAAGACATAATTCAACCCCTGCTGATAAAACTCATTGCTAATAGTAACAGGAAGTAGATTCTAAGCAACATGATGAACCTTAGCAGTGGGGATTGCTGAAATGCTCTCTTTATCAACTTTTCCCAGCCCAGTTTCATCTAAGTCAACCAAAAAAAAACGGTTGGGGGGAAGGGGGGGGGGGAGTTAATGAGGTGAAAACCTGGAAAAAGAAGATTGTGGCTATTTAAGAACAAGAGTTGTAAGCAGACCTATACCATTGGTAGGAGATGTATTCACAGCATTTTCCACAAGGCTGCGTGTTAATGGACCAGGATTCATGAAAGATATAGTTCGAATCTCATGACAAATGGCTTCAAGTTGGGAAATAGTGTCTTGTAGTTCTTTATGCACCTACAAAACACAAAATTAGTACAGCTCATCTACAACATCATTGAAAGACAAAGTGCACTTTACATATATCTATGTGTGTATGTGTGTGTGTATATATATATATATGTATATAAGAGAGAGAGAGAGAGAGAGAGAGAGAGAGAGAGAGAGACCTGACGAGCCTGAGATTGCTGCATAACACTATCGAATTGGCCACGGAACACTTGGACATATCCAATTGCCCTTCCAGCTAACCTCCCCGCAGTTCTTGCAATTATTGGCAAATCCTTTGGGCCTGAACTACAGCTATGAATATCAACACATAAACCTCAATTCAACGTTGACTCTAATACATATGCACATATGCCAGAGCAAGAGATAGAAAGTATCATCTCCAAAGATCATCCTTGGAGCCTCCCAAGCAAAAATGGAAAAACCCCAAAATACAACACACTTTGTCATGATAGCAAACAATAAAATTTACTACATTCTTTCATCATATTTGGAATCTACATCAATTATACGTAGGTAATCATCAAAAAGATGTAAAGATCAAAATCTATACAAGGAGGAATAGCCAATAGCGTACCAATTAGAGCAGCAGTAGCACCAATTATGAGAAACAGCTCCCCATAAGAAATCCCAAGCATCACTCTTTCCTTTTGTTCCCCCTCCTCCTAGGCACTTGTACCTGAGTAAGGTGCATGACAGGGCTAAATTAGTGTTACTTTCTGAGACTTTGGCTCAAAGATAAAACTGTAAGGTGTAGGAAAAATGTACTAATAGACAACCATTGTTGTCTTCTTTATTCAATGACAATAAATTGCACATTGTATTCAAGAAACAATCAATTAAAATCCCAAATTGCAACCACTAACACCAGAGTATTCTCTTTTTGCTTCCTCTCTAACACTGCCTCCTTGCGCGTGATGCACACAAACACAATTTCACACATTAACGCACAAAAAGCAACAAAATCTCTCTTTCCTTTGCATTTTTCTTTTTTGGGTTCTCATGTGGACATTTTATCAAAAGATTGAGGTGCATGGGCAAAAACAACGATTTTTCTGCTCAACCTGAACTAAAGCAGGGCCCAAACTGTCTATTTCAACCATATTCACAGCCTTTTCCACATAAATGGAGTGAGTAGTCACAAAGTTGCAGATGAAATATGGAAATACCAAGAAAATTGAGACAAGACCATTCAAAAATACCCAGCAAAAAAATTCAATCCTGCATGTAAACTATATATAATTTGAACGATGTTGACATTGAGAGCATGAGAAGCAGCTTACAGTGGTATTTCGGAGGAAAATTGCGCTCTGATAGTGTCCTTTTCCTTTTCTTCTTGAAGGAAATGATGAGTTCTCAGAGGCAAGGACGGTGAATCGAGAGAGCGATGGGGGGACGTTGTATCACCCGCGATTTTGAAACCCAGACCAAATTGGTCGAACCGGAAAAAGTGGGTCAAGGGTCATGACTCAAGACATCATAAATATGTTAAAACTAATTTTTATGATCTAAAAGATAATTATACAAATCAATAAAATTACATGAAGCGATTGGGTGACTCGTACAATTAATTGAAGTGGTAAATTTGTAATCTTAAGTAAAAACATACAAGTATTCTAAAATCATAAATCAATATTGAAGAGTAATGAACTAAGATTTAAAGCTAAATATATCATTAACATTAATATATTTCATCTTTTAAGTTAAGATAGCAAATTTAACAATATTAATCATTATGTTCTCTTTGGTTATTTAGTGAAATAGCGTAGGCAAGAAAATTGGAGGAATGTTTGAAATAAAGAAAAAAAATGTGAAAAAAAGTGAACTATAAAATAATAAAATAAACGCTGACCAAATTAAGCTCAATAAAACTCATTGTATTCTCCCAAAAAAAAAAAAAAACTCATTGTATGGTAAATGAAATTTGAGCCCTTTCATGCCAATTATTTACAGCTTAAGGATTATGAGAATAAAAAATTCAGTTGTCATTATTTAGTTAAATTTATGGGTTGATAACTAGAGGTCTGGCAAAAAACAATAGAGGTCTACAAAATAATTTTTGTAAATTCACCCAATTTAATGGTTTGCTAATTGAAACATCCAACTTTTCTAGTTTGCATTAAAATGGGTGGTTTTTTTTTTCACGTTTGCGAGTTCGAAGATTGGACCAACTCAAAAATCAACCGAGATAATGTTCATTACTATATGCTTTTAAAAGAATATTATCACCAAATAGTTTAGTTTTAAAACATTAGTATCATCAAATGTGTATAAGGATTATATTCTTCTCTTTTTTTTTTATCTCTCTCTCTCTCTCTCTCCAAATTATTTTTAACTTTACAACTGCATTGTACCATCCTAAAGTGTAAAAATACCAAACAATTAAAGAAAAATAGGCTAAAAAACATGTATGATGTTTATCACGTGCGAGTTGAAACACAGCACTATGTTGGTTTCAAAAACTCCTGAATATGGTAATGTAAAAAATCATTGCCTTGATCATTTTAGATATAGCAGTCCAAAATGGTCTTGCTTAAGAATAACTATAGCTACATCAAAACCAAAAAAATAATTTAAAAAGTAATTAAATTTTATGAAAATGCCTAAATAATTGAAAATTATGACATGACAATGGCCCAAACGATATACACAAACGTGAGAATAGTTAAAAACAAGGAAGTTGGTTATTTTTTTACTTTATTTTTTGACTTACTTAAGCAATATATGCAAATGTGAAAATAGTTAATAATAAAAAATAATGTTTACTTTGTTTCTGACTTTCTGTGCATAAACGTGGATATCTTATAAAATATCATTTTACTTAAAAAGAAATATGTAGTTCACTATTCTTAATCGCCAACATGCCTAGTCACCACAACTTACTTTCTTTAAATTATTAAAAATTAGCTTTAAATTATTTACTTTCTCTCTTTTTATGATTTATGTCAAACTTTTAATAGAATGCTTATTGAGCTGAAAAGGCTTTTATAGGTTGAGAGGTAGAAAAAAATTTCTAGCTACTACTTGTTAAATACCTAGATCAAATAATTTTTCACCATGCATCTAGAATAGACTTTCGTGGGAGTTTATCACTATGTAACATTTGCATTATTCTCTTCAAACACCAACCAAATGGCAACAATGAAAAAGGAAATAAAGGGAAGAAAGATAGACCAAGGTCTAATAGTTCAAAAGAAGCAGAAGTAAAAAAGAAAAACAAAAGTGAATCAACGTAAAATGCAGGAAAGGAAATAACAACATACAAAAAAGGAAAATAGGAAGGGAAAAAAAAAACCAGTGAAGCAGCTGATTTTAGAGGCCAAAGAAAAGCTGAGCTCCACAAACAAATTTGATCTTAGTCCATATGCCTATATCCCCTCAATGGCCAAGCCACTGGCTCACTCCTCACTCTACTCTTTTCCCTCATCATCTTCTTCAAGTTCATCATCTCTTTTATGTCCCATAACGGTATGCTCTTCTCTTCCCACTCAATTGCTGACAAACTCAGAAATCTCAATTCTTTCCTCAGTTTCCTCTTGTTCTTCCAAGCTCCAATTCATTCAACAACACTCCACTGCCACAACCACAACACTAAAGCATCCAATTTTGCTCTTCACTGCCCTTGATACACCCCCGGTTGACACCCAATCCTTTCTGGCCACTGTTAGTGTCTTGGCTGCCATTGCTCTCTCCCTATTTCTTGGCCTCAAGGTTGCCTTTTTGTTGATTAAATTTGTTATCTTTTTGTGGTTTCTGCTTGATTTGGCTTCATATGCTTATTAGGCAAAAGGGTTGTTCTTTTTTTAACACTAAATTTTCTTCATGCTTTAGGATTATCTAGTGCAGCTTGAAATTATAAGCATACTGTTTTTGTTTCTTTTCCTAAAAAGCTGTTATTTTTGTGGTTTTGTATGTGCAGGGGGATCCTGTTCCTTGTGACAGGTGTGCTGGAAATGGTAATCTCTTTTTCTTGGAACGAAATTCTTTATACATTAGTATACGTGCATTTAGTCTGCACAATTGACTTGCATGTAGATTGCAAGTGAATTTTTAGGTGCAATTTTACATTATTGTATTAAAAACTGGTGTTTTCGTTTATATGCACAAAAAATCTAATGCAGATTGGCAGGAAACTTTATAAGTCAAGTCAAGTCGAGAGTTAAGTTTCGAGACATGCTCTCTCTCTCTCTCTCTCTCTCTCTCTCTCTCTCTCTCTCTCTAATGTCTTATTTGGTGTTCCCACAAAGGTGAAATTTTTTGGTTTTTCTGGTCGAGCAATGCTGATGATCACTGCAGATTTTGGTTGGCATGTTTTGTGTGTAAGGCTATGAAAAGTGGAAATCAAGCATCTCAATGTCCAAATATAAGCTACTCTTTTGCTTTCTGATTAGAAAAGGAAAAAAGAAAGTGAAGAAGAAAATAGGGAGGTAGAATTTTTCAGGAATCTTTTTACCAGATGTGATTTAAAGGTTTATAGCCTGAAGTTCTGCTTTTTTCATAATATGAAAAATCTATGTCCAATGAGAAGAAATCTCTTAAGTCTGTTAAAGAAACAGTGAAATTGAAAATAAACTTCTAAGTGCAGATTGTGGAATATTAATCTGGTATTACTTCGTTCAAAAGTGTGTCTGTATTAATCAGATATATGCTTTTGGAACAGTGTCAAAATGAGCATCTTTAATTTGAGGAATTGACGTACAATTGATTCACGAATTTCCAACTGATACCATATTGGAAATTTTAGCTATTTAGCTCTAAGACTGTATGAATGGTTACATTCCAATTGACAGAATTCATAGTAATTCGTTTGGTACATAAAGAAGACCATGTTTCTCTCTTTCTCGGATGGTACTTAGCTTCAATGACTCAACAGAATATTGCCTGAGCTGCTCCTTTTGCAAAAATAGACTGATAGAGGCACCATGTGGAATCAAAGTGTCAACCTAATAATCAGAAGTTGCAAGGCTTCAGAAACTGATTTCCAAGGGTGAGGAATGGGTAGGATGGTGTAAGGGGAAGGTCAAGAATGAAGATCATACTTTGTCCCTTGTTAGCACCATAATCCTTGAGATGGTATTTAAAGTTGTACCTACCTTAACCTTTCAAAATTGCTAATTGAACAGGATTTAAGTAACTCTTTTTCACCTTTGGTTAAGCATAAGCAAAACGAAAATAGAGCTGCTACAATTCAATTTGGGAGTTTTTAAGTCAATTTACTAGTTTAATATCCTCTATGATGTGCGTTTGCATGAGTCATACTGGATTGCTGTTTCACTACTTGCTTCTGAGTGATTGACAAAATACCACTTGGTTTCTTTTTGGGCAATTTTAGGCTCTCCTAACAATATGTTATGTAGTTGGCTCCAAGGATAAAGGATTAAGATTTGGAGCATATTTTATGAGCATAAACTTCTAATTAGATTCATAAACCTAACTAGAATATTAGAAAGGTCTGTTTGTTCCAGGCGTACATAGTTTGACTTCAACAAGCACATAGGGAATCCTATTTTGACATTGGCCCTATGAGATGGCTCTTTACAGATTCTAGATTAAACCATCCTATTGCTGACCCTTAGCCCTCTGCAGCTTTGTACAAAGTTCAAATATGAACCACCAAGTCATTTGCCTTATTGTTTATGTTTATCAATCTCAAGTGTCCAATCACTTATGCATCAGTGGCCAGAACCATGGAAACACTTCTCAACCACCATCTAGAAGTCTAACTAAATGAATCATCTCAATTCTCTTACTTACAGCTTCCATCACCAAAGTAAAAGCAAAGTCATTTTAAGTTTCATATGGTATACTGAGGCACTGCCCGGGAAAGTGAAGAAGCAGAAATCAGATGACCTGATAGCGTCAACTACATTACAAGGTATACATACTCAATCATAATATATCGAGAGGAGTTTAACTGGTGGGAGCAAGTTGGGATAGTTAGGCAAAAGTGCGCGTCATTTCTGGAATGTTTGAGCGGTGATTTTGCTCTGCAGCCCGCAGACTCTTAAGAGTATAGTGGTACTGGACGAGTTATTCCCCTTAGCTATTCCCTTATTATGGTTTCATTTGACCAATTACTTGTCCTTTATGAGTTTTGTATTATTGCCCTTGAACGATTTATTTAGCTCAATGCATTTTTAAAATTTTCCAATCAGTTAAAACCTGGTATATACATAAGTGGATCGAATTATGTTAGGGTCACCAATGAGTACGTAATCACTCTTGTTTGGCTTGAAGACTTCTGTGAATATCTGTAGTCCTTTTGGATTTGAAGCCGTGATGATTTCAGATACCTGTTGATAAATGGAAGTGTTCATTACGTGTTAGTAGTCATTTCCCCCATAGCTGATGAACTATTCTTTGGTAATTGACGACAGGTGGTACCAAATGTGTCTTCTGCAATGATGGTAAGATGAAAATGGAAACAGGGCTGGTTGATTGCAGGGTCTGCAAGGGTGCAGGTTTGTTACTTTTTAACTGTGTACCACAATTAATATTTCTGAGCATTAACAGGTCTAAGAATACATTGTTTATAAACTTGATATTGTTGCACTTTTATCACTTCGTGTTGTTCAGCCAAAGGTATCATTTTACAGGTTTGATACTGTGTAAGAAGTGCGGAGGTTCTGGATATGCAAGACGTTTGTAAAGAACTTTAGAACCCCCAGAATCGCTGTTTCCCCTTGTAATTGCCAATATGGAAGATAATGTCATATCCCTAATTCATTTATTCAAGACTATCTTCTTAGCATCTTTACTGGTCCACTCCACAGTTTCCATCTTTTTTTTTTGTTCCTTTTTTTTTGGGGGGTAGGGTGCGGGGTGTTAGTATCATTTTTATCTACACTTCCTGACTTGGTCAATATGCATGATTTGTATGGCATATTATCACCTGTCTGTTGCTATAGGACACCCAAAAAGGTGGAAAATTGTACTGAAAGTGGGAAAATAGTAGTCCAGGTAATCGATCAGTTTCTCTTTTGGGAAAATTCTATCAAGTTAACAACAAAAACAGAAACAGAAACAGGAGCTGAAAGCCGCAAAGACACTCGTGGATTGTTTCTGCCCTCCATGTTTCAACCGTCGCCATTAACAATTGCAGACAGCTACTTATGCATCGCACTTGGTCTGGTAATCCCACAAAACATGGTATTTGGTAGCATTTTACTGCCTTCTTCCTTCTACTCTTCCTACAATTTCCAACCTTGAGCGATGCTCCAGCCTTTAGTGGTGAGGATGGAATGATCCAAAAAGAACTTGTATCAAGACTTATGTGCTATATTTTCCCCCAAAAAAAAGAAGGAAAAAGAAACAGACTTATATAGTAGATCGTATATGTATGTATGGATTGCATAATTTGCATTCAAAGACATCTAATTATTGTTTGGGAGCTTACATGCAAAGACAACTAATCATCAATTGACAAACTTCTACTTTACAGAAGGTTGGTAATAAAAGCAAAAGCATACTACATCCCCTGTCTATTGGATCCACGCTAGCTAGGAAGAGTGCAATTCTGTCACCATGTTATTTTCAAGACATGAATGATCCCAATTGGCAGGCGTATTTACTTTGCCATTTATGAAGAAATCACTTATCACTTTGCCATTCCATTTGTCTAGATAAGATGGAGATCTTAGCCATATCATTACCTAAGTTTCCATTTGACAGGCCTACCTAACTAGATAAGATGGAAATCTTAGGCATATGATTACCTAAGTTTCCATTTGACAGGCCTGCCAGCTTTGTATTCTGACCATGAGCAAAGACTAACATGTAGGCCATCTGTTAAGGAGTCTTATAATGGTTAATCTCATCAACTCTCCTCCGGCCACCATGATACAAAGAATGCTATATTTTCCATTTTAAATTTCAAGAAGTTGCACACTTGTTACATGTTAGTACTAAAACTTAATTAATATAATTTTTCACCCATAAATTCACTAATTTGAGGTAATTATATTATGATTTTATAGAACCAATCTAGATATGACTTGGATAGAGAATCAATTCGGCTTCAACAAAAGAGCAAAACTCAAAACACCAAAAGAAACAGGTCAAAAAATTGAAGAAACAAACCAATAGAAGAAGTATAGAACTCACAGCTCACAAGTGATTCAGCAATTAGCCTTTTGGCTCAAGTGGAAGAACAAGCTTTGTCTTTAATCCTGTCCATTATTTTTGGCACCACATTAACTCAAAAGAATTTGCTTACATAAACATTTCCAACCTAATCCACAAATATTCTAAAACGAAATATATTTCACAAACTAAATGCCAACAACAATTCCAATTCAGCTTGATCAGTAGTTGAGACCCTTTTGTCCTACTAAACCACTAGGACTTTCGTCAATACTATTTAACCCCCATCTATTTTTTTGATTACATAAAATTGTTCCTAGTAATAATTTTTCTCTCAGACAATTTATCAAACATATAATAGACATGTCGGATACGGCTATTCCGGAGGCTCCGCCGGCTGCCTCTGCCACTGCCACTGAACCGTATGAGGTGGACGAATGCCGGGGAGTCCTCCGAGTCTATAGCGACGGCTCAATTGTCCGGTCCACCAAACCAAGCTTCGAAGTGCCTGTAGAAGACGACGGCTCTGTGCTCTGGAAGGACGCCTTTTTCGACCCAGAACGCAATCTTCAGCTCCGGCTATACAAGCCGGCTACAGCGACGTCGTCGAAGAAGGTCCCGATCTTTTACTATATTCATGGAGGAGGGTTCTGCATTGGCTCACGTGCATGGCCCAATTGCCAGAACTACTGCTTCAAGCTGGCTAAGGAGCTTGAAGCGGTGATCATATCTCCTGACTATCGGCTGGCGCCGGAAAACCGGCTTCCGGCTGCTATTGAAGATGGGTTCATGGCAGTGAAATGGCTTCAGGCCCAAGCCGTGGCTGAGGAGCAGGATACATGGCTCACTGATGTAGCTGACTTTGGCAGTGTGTTCATTTCGGGTGACTCGGCTGGTGGAAATATATCTCATAACTTGGCGGTTAAGCTTGGAGCCGGCTCACCTCAGCTGGCGCCGGTTAGAGTAAAGGGCTATGTTCTTCTGGCTCCTTTCTTTGGCGGGACTGTGGTTACCAAGTCCGAAGCTGAAGGGCCAAAAGATGCATTCTTGAATTGGGAGCTCAGTGACAGGTCAGCTGGCTGGCTAATTATGCAGCACTAATTTCATATTTTTTGGAATACACTAATTCAATAAAAATGCACTAAATACTCTCCCTTTGGCTAATTAGACACATAATGATATTTTTTGACAAATTACAAATTTTTATTAAGGGTTTTTGTGATTTTCCAAGATTGCCTCATACATGTTTAAACAAAAAATAAAAAGGTTGTTTTTCAGTTATACAATAATTATAAAATAGATCACTTTTTACGTTTTTGTCGATTCTCATATTACATAAACTTAAACGTGTCAAAAGTGATGCAAAGTAGTAGTTGTAACGTGTCATGCCCATCGAAAGTGACACAAAGTGATAGCGATTGTAATTGTTTAAGGAACTCATTACGTACAAGTTATGTGAATTCCTTGTTTGAATTGCGAGTTTTCGTAGCAAAATTTTCTCGACACATTTTGTAATCACTTTTTTAACCCACAGTATATTTTTCTACAAAAACTTGCAATTCAAATGGGTAAATTTTGTGATTTTATCAAGTGCAACATCTTGAATTTCGCAAGTTATATGTTCTGTTATTTTTGATTGATGAATTAGGTTTTGGAGGCTATCAGTACCAGCTGGGGAGACTACTGACCATCCACTAATAAACCCATTTGGACCCTTAAGCCCCAACCTGGAAATAGCTGATCTTGATCCCATCCTAGTGGTTTGTGCAGGAAGTGATTTATTGAAAGATAGGGTTGAGGAGTATGCAAAGAAGTTGAAAGGCTGGGGAAAGAAAGCTGAGTACGAGGAATTTGAAGGACAGCAACATGGGTTTTTCACTATAAATCCCAACTCTGAAGCTTCCAAGAAGTTGATGGGAATCATTAAACAGTTTATTACTGAATATGCTGCCTAAGTACTCAATGTTTAATGAGCCTTTTCAAACGAAGAAGAAAAGGAACAGTTGAGGCCTCATTTGTGTTTAGCAATTGTACGTCTTTCTGTTCATGTCATCATGTGTTCCGTAATTGCTCAAATAATATCTCATGTTACAAATTTGTGCCAAGGAATTATAGCCTCCATTGCTGTTTTGTCTCTGACTTGTGCTTTATCTCAAGTTTCATCACCTTACAAATGATATTAAGTTGGAGATACACAGGAATCAATTGACTTAACAACCTTTTCTTTACTCAGAGAATAAGTTCATTTTTGAAATGACGTTGAGATGTTGATCATCAATTTAAAATCACAAAAGTACTGCAACTTATTCATGGGAATTAGTTGTCCCGTTCCAAATTCACAACTCTATACGAAGATTATTTAAGGGTAAGTATGACATTTCGAAATTTCGAACATATCTATTTCACAACATCGCTAAAAAAGGTCAATAATTATACAACCTTTTTATGTGATCATGTTGTTGAATCCTGATGCCATAATGCATATGATATTTCCTTTAACTAGTAGTTAGCCTACTACCAGAACAAATTAGGTATGTTTGGTTATCAAGATTTGCAAAAAAAAAAAAAAAAATAAAATTTTATTTTACTGACATCATAAATACAATTTCCCAACCACCTTTTGATCTCACATATATTACGTTACATAAAGTGCTAAGGTAAATATTTCAAAGAACCTTCCTGCCAAAACGAATGTTTTCAAGGTAACTGATAATTGATACTCGCTAACGAAGAATGTAAAAATTAGTGTGGAATAGATGTAGAATTTTTTGTGACATTTATTGTCAATAACAGAAAGTTCATAGACTATCTCTATGAGTTATAAATTTCCATTTAGGTTAATCATTTAAGTCATCTGCCACGCAATGTATATAGGTGATTGTCATAGTTCATGAAGAGTTGTTCTCGCCTTGCATGACATCCACAATTTGGTTCCTTTTTTTTTTTTAATTAAATTTTCTTTTGCATTTATTTTACTGAACTCTTCCTTCTTGTCACAACAAGAGATATTCTT